CCCATCTCTACAAAAAATTAAAAATTAGCCAGGCATGGTAGCACGTGCCTGCAGTCCCAGTTACTTGGGAAACTGAGGTGGAAGGATCACTCGAGCCTGGGAGATTGAGGCTACAGTGATCTGTCATTGCACCACTGCACTTAGCCTGGTGACAGAGCAAGACCCTGTCTCACAAAGAAAGAAGAAAGAAATATCTTAGTAACAATTATTCACACAGTAACTATCCCTGGAAAGATGTTTGCGTAAAGGGTAGATGATTGTCTGTCTCTTAGGAACACAGATAACCTCCTGAAGACTGGAGGAGGAACTAGCAGGTCTTTCATGATGTCCCTCAATTTATTTTATTGTATTTTTTTTTCCTTCTTTGAGATGGAGTCTCCCTCTGCCACCCCGGCAGTAGTGCAATGGTGCAATCTTGGCTCACTGCAGCCTCTGCCTCCAGGGTTCAAGCAATTCTCCTGTCTCAGCCTCCCAAGTAGCTGGGACTACAGGTGCGTGCCACCACGTCCGGCTAATTTTTTCTTTTTTTTTGTATTTTTAGTAGAGACAGGGTTTCGCCATGTTGACCAGGCTGGTCTCGAACCCCTGACTTCAGGTAATCCGCCCGTCTCTGCCTCCCAAAGTGCTGGGATTACAGGCATGAGCCACTACACCCAGCATTTTTTTTTTAATAGATGAAGGCTTCCTACATTGCCCAGGCTGGTCTCGAACACCTAGCCTCACCTTCTTATGTGCCAGGACAACAGGCCTGAGCCACCACTGCCTCCCCTCAATTTTCTTATAATTAGTGTTACTATTATTGTCATTGTGTCCATCCGAGTGCACAGGTGGGAGTCATTGCCACTGGAATGTACATTCAAATCCTTTGGCAGTGGACATGGAAACACAACCCCAAGAACAAAACAAATTGAAACTCTTTAAAGTCAAGATAGTGGTTACCCTGGAGAGGGAAGAGGTTAGTGACCAGGTGGATATATGAGGCTAGCGTTCAGGGGCCTGCTGTGGTCCTGTTTCTTTTCTTGAGGCAGGGTCTTGCCCTGTTGCCCAGGCTGAAGTACAGTGGTGCAATCTTGGCTTACTGTAGCCTTGACCTCCCAGGCTAAGTGATCCTTCCGCCCCAGCCTCCTGAGCAGCTGGGACTACCACGCCCAGCTGATTTTTGTATTGTTTGTAGAGATGAGGTCTCGCCATGCTGCCCAAGTTAGTCTTGAACTCCTGGGCTCAAGTGATCCTCCCCCCGGGCCTCTCAGACTGCTGGGATTACAGGCATGAGCCACTGCACCCGGCCCCAGGTCCTGTTTCTTGATCAGGATGTAGTTTGGGTGGGTAGGTCCCTTTTGTGAAACAGAAGCAGGCTGGACCTCATCGAGCTGCATGTTTCTGCAGGAGTGATTTCAATTGCAAGGTGCCGACAGAATAGTCAAACTGATTGTTCTTGCTGTGTTAGGATCTTGGTTAAGAGGGCCAGCTTTAGATGCTCATTTCTGGCCTTCGAATCCAGATTACCATTTGCTAGCTGTGTGGCTTAAGACAAGCTGCTTAACCTCTCTGTGCCTCAATTTTATTAGCTGGGAAATGAGTCTGCAGGGCTGTGAGTACCCAAGCCCTTTGTACTTCATTTGGTAAAAAAGTTGGAACCTGTAAGCACTGTTTAGATCTTGCTTTATTTTGCTGCTAATTAACAAATGACTTTATGTTATTTATTTATTTAATTTTATTTTTATTTATTTATTTATTTATTTTTTGAGATGGAGTCTCACTGTCGCCCAGGCTGGAGTGCAGTGGCGTGATCTCAGCTCACTGCAACCTCTGCCTCCTGGGTTTGAGCGATTCTCCTGCCTCAGCTTCCCAAGTAGCTGGTAGCTGGGACTACAGGTGCCCGCCACCATGCCCAGCTAATTTTTGTATTTTTAGTAGAGACAGGGTTTCACCATATAGGCCAGGCTGGTCTCGAACTCCTGACCTTGTGATCTGCCTGCCTCAGACTCCCAGAGTGCTAGGATTACAGGATTTATTAAATAAATGAATAAAGGCTGAGCCACCATGCCTTTATTTATTTATTTATTTATTTATTTATTTATCTTTGAGATTGAGTCTCACTCTGTTGCCCAGGCTGGTGTTCAGTGGCACGATCTTGGCTCACTGTAAACTCCATCTCCCAGGTTCAAGCCATTGTCCTGCGTCAGCCTCCTGAGTAGCTGGGACCACAGGTGCCCACTGCCACAGCTAATTTTTTTTGTATTTTCAGTAGAGACGGAGTTTCCCCATGTTGGCCAGGCTGGTCTTGAACTCCTGACTTCAAGTGATCCACCTGCCTCTACCTCCCAAATTGCTAGGATTACGGGCATAAGACACTGCGCATGGTCGATTTTTTTTTTCCCAGTGAATGCATTTCTAGTTGGAGTATTCTACTTGCTTCCAGTGTTGAGTATGAAACCAGATAACACACATAGAGTGCCCAGCAGTGTTTAGCATACCGGTGCTCAACCAATGGTGGCTCTTAGTACTAGTTTCCTTTTCCTAAAATATCAAAAGGCACTGAGCGAGAATTTCTTGGAAACATGTTGTTTCGTCTAAACCCATCCCGTGGCAGTCCATATATGATGCGCATTTCTGAGGTCAACTTTTTGCTTATTGGAATGCAATGTCACTATGTCCCAGGCTTGGCTTTTCCGTGTGTTGTAATTGTACCAACACTGGAAGCACATATTGTACCACGAGAAAGAAATGTGTTCTGTAAAAGAAAAAATCATAATGTCATTTGCTAATTAACAGCAAAAGACAATAAAATACTGCCTCCTTTAGACCCCACCCTGAGGTTTCAAACTGCCCACCAAATAAAGTTCTCAGGGCTGGTGCAGTGGTTCATGCCTGTAATCCCAGCACTTTGGGAGGCCGAGGGGGGCAGTTCACTTGAGCTCAGGAGTTCGAGACCCAGCCCGGCCAACAGGGTGAAACCCTGTCTCTACTAAAAATATAACAATTAGTCGGGCATGGTGGCACATGCCTGTCATCCCAGCTACTCGGGAGGCTGAGGCAGCAGAATCGCTCGAACCTGAGAGGTGAAGGTTACGGTGAGCCAAGATCATACCACTGTACTCCAGCCTGGGCAACAGAGTGACTCATCTCAAAAAAGAAAAAAAAAAAAGTTACCAGGCCTGCAAATCCAGTGGGACCCCCAAACCCATTTCCCAATTTCATTTCACTCGTGTCCTCCAAATCCCTCTCGAATGTTCCAGCCCAGCTGGACTCAGTGCCTGCAAGAAGGGTCTGCATTTTCCCAACTCTGGGCCTTTGCTTACGGACCTCTTAGCGGGTGAACGGGACAGCTCTGCCCTCTCTCCCCAGCATACTGCAGTCAAATTCTCATCCTTTAAGAGCTATTTAATGCACCACCTCCTCCCTGAAACTTCTCCTGACCGATTCCCAGCCTGGAAGGACCTCCTCTCACCCCTGCCCCAGGAGGAATCCATGGATGTGGGTTTGTTGTTGTTGTTGTTGTTGAGACGGGGTCTCTCTCTGGTGTCCAGGCTGTAGTGCAGTGGTGCAATCTCGGCTCACTGCAGCCCCCGCCTCTTGGGTTCAGGTAATTCTCCTGCCTCAGCCTCCTGAGTAGCTGGGATTACAAGGGTGTGCCACCACGCCCAGCTAATTTTTGCATTTATAGTAGAGATGGGGTTTCACCATGTTAGCCAGGCTGGTCTGAAGCTCCTGACCTCAGGTGATCCGCCTGCCTCGGCCTCCTACAGTGGTGGGATTACAGGCGTGAGCCACCGCACCCGGCCTAGATGTGTTATTTTACATAGCAAAAGAAACTTTGCAGGCCAGGCAAACGCCTGTAATCCCAGCACTTTGGGAGGCCGGGCAGGTGGGTCACCTGAGGTCAGGAGTTTGAGACCAGCCTGACCAACATGGCAAAACCCTGTCTCTACTAAAAATATTTTTTAAATTGGCTGGGCGTGGTGGCACATGCCTATAACAGCAGCAAATCGGGGAGGCTGAGGCAGGAGAATCACTTGAATCAGAGAAGCTGAGCTTGCAGTGAGCCGAGATTCCACCATTGCACTCCAGCCTGGGTAACAGAGTGAGACTCCATCTCAAAAAAAAAAAAAAAAAAAAAAGAGAGAGAGATACTTTGCAGATGTGATTAGGTGAAGCATCTTGAGATGGGGGAGGTGATCTGACATTAGGGATGGACCCAATGTAATCCCAAGAGAGAAGCAGGAGGGTCAGCCTCAGAGGAGATGTGATACTGGGACAGGGGACAGGGGTCACAGTGATGCAGCCATGAGCCAGGGAAGGCAGCAGCTTCTCAAAGCTAGAAAAAGCGAGGAACAGACCTCTCCTGGAGCCTCGAGAAGGAACTAGCCCTGTGGACATCTTGATTTTAGCTCTGTAATTTTCATTTCAGACTTTCTTCCAAACTCTGAGATAACGAATATGTGTTGTGTAAAGCCACCAAGTGAGGGGTAAGTCATTACAGTAGCAACAGAAAACTAACACAGGTCTAGAACCATCTGGTATATTTTCAGATTGGTCTCAATGGACTGGTCAAGAGATTTATGCCATGAGTTAGACTCTCTGAAGAATCTGGATGAATTACACATTGAACACAGGTCTGACCCTCTATTGGTATGCAGGATTGGGCATTAGGTCGCCTCCTGGTTGCCTTCACTATCAAACGTTACTCCAGAGAGACTGAAGTGATCAACTAGGCTTCTGGAGGCAGGGCTCCCAGGACTGAATGGGGCCCTGAGGAAACCCACCCCACATATGCAGCCTTCTAGATTAGTCCTCCAGCTCTGCCCCTTCCCTGGAGGGACACAAACAGGGTGGAAGGGATGAATGATTCCTGGTCAGCACTCTCTGACGGGTGACCCTGGGCAAGGCGATAGAATGTTTCCGAGCCTCAGTTCTCTCCTATGGAAAATGGAACTAAGAACAGGTATATTTTGCATTAGCACATTTTGCATTGCTATAAAGGAATACCTGAGACTGGGTAATTTATAAAGGAAAGAGGTTTATTTGGCTCGCAGTTCTGCAGGTTGTACAGGAAGTAAGGCACCAGCATCTGTTTGGCTTCCGGCAAGGGTCTCAAGGGCCTCAAGAAGCTTTGGTTCATGGTGGAAGGCAAAGGGGGAGCAGGCACATCACATGGTGAAAGAGAAAGAGAGAGAGGAGGGAGGGATCTTTTAAACAACCAGATCTTCCATGAACTAACAGAGTGAGAACTCACTCATCACCACGACAGCACTAAGCCATTCATGAGGGACCCACCCCATCACCCAAACACCTCCCCCTAGGCCCACCTCCAACATCAGAGGCTTCAACATGAGATTTGGAAGGAACAAAACATCGAAACCGTAACGCTTACCTATCAGGCCATACTGTTGTGAGTCAGGAGTGAGAAAATGTATGTCTAAAATTATATTCCAGGCCAGGCACGGTGGCTCATGCTTGTAATCTCAGCACTTTGGGAGGCTGAGGTGGGCGGATCACCTGAAGTCACGAGTTCGAGACTAACCTGGCCAACATGGTGAAACCCCATCTCTACTAAAAATACAAAAATTTGCTGGGTGTGGTGGCACGTGCCTATAATCCCAACTACTTGGGAGGCTGAGTCAGGAGAATCACTTGAACCCAGGAGGCGGAGGTTGCAGTGAGCCGAGATTGCACTATTGTACTCCAGCCTGGACGACAAGAGCGAAACTCAAAAAAATAATAATAATAATTAAATTAAATTAAATTATATTTCAAATGCTAATTGTATCAGCCCTGTGTACTAAGTGAGCTTGTCCTGGTGAAATAACCACCTCCTTCCCCCAATAAAACCCCTAACTGACATTGATTTCAAAGCCCTGTAAAGCTGTCAGCCTGAGTATGCTGGTTCTTCTCTTGCAGGTGAAATCTATTACAGGAGCAAATACCTGAGAAGCGATACCTACAACGCCAATATTGAGGCAAACAGGATTGTGGTGTCTGAGTTTGGAACAATGGCCTATCCGGACCCCTGCAAAAACATATTTTCCAAGTAACTGCCTGTTTTAAATCTGAGCAAATTTCATGCCTTTTGCTCTCCTTGATGGCTGAAATAACCAGCATTTGCTCCTCTAACAATTCTCGTTAGGGTGTACGAAAATGCCACATGACTGCCCTTTAACCAGAGGTGCTACACAGTTCTTGATCACTGACTGCCAGAGAGGCTAAGAGCATTTGACAGATTATTAGAAGCCCTCCCACATGGCTGGTGGGAAAGGAATTTGGAATCATCTGTCAAAATTACAAAGGCACATTCCCTTCAGCCTAGAGATCTATTGCTTGCATACAAAATGACACATGCAGCAGGTATTTGACATTTATGGCTGCATCTTTTGTTATAACACGTAGCTGAAAACAACCCAAATGTTCATTAAAAGAGGAGTGGTTAAATCCGTAACAGTAAAACTGTACAAGAAAATGCCATGTAGAAGTAAAAAGGAAGGGGAACGTTCTCTTTGTGCTCTACGGAAACATTTCCAAGATAGACTAAGTGAAAAAAAAAAAAAAAAAAAGGAAGGTGTAGAAAGAGCACGTTATAAGACGTATTTTGTGTGAAAAAGCAGGAAGAAATCTAGATTAAATTTTGCTTGTACATGCATAAAGAAACTACGAAAGGATGCGTAGGGGACGTGGGGCAGATGGGTGGTGAGGAGAGGGAGAGATTTTTTGCTGTATATATTTTATTTCATTTTATTCATTTATTTATTTATTTAAGATGGAGTTTCACTCTTGTTGTCCAAGCTGGGTGCAATGGTGCAATCTCAGTTCACCATCACCTCCGCCCCCCCAGGTTCAAGTGATTCTCCTGCCTCAGCCTTCCAAATAGCTGGGATTATAGGCACCCACCACCACGCCAGGCTAATTTTTATATTTTCAGTAGAGATGGGGTTTCACCATGTTGATCAGGCTGCTCTTGAACTCCTGATCTTAGGTGATCCACCCACCTTGGCCTCCCAAAGTGCTGGGATTACAGGCATGAGCCACTGCACCTGGCCACTGCATACATTTTAAATAATCTGGGTTAGGATCCATAAGAATGTGTTACATATTTGACAATTAAATTATTGGCCAGGGAATCAGGCCTGCCATCAGTATCTTCTTTCTGAAACTCTCTAGACATAGAAGAGTTATGAAAGAGTTGAAGGGTAGACTGGCCCAGAGATGGAAGATTGCTTCTGCTTTTTTGAGAACTGAAGTCAACTCTCCCATTCCAGTATCCAGCTGTAGGGCTGGCTCAGAGCAAGCACTGAATTCACATTTGCAAATAGGAAGTGTGGGGCAGGAGCCAGTGGGAAAGGAGGAGGAAGGAGTAAACGAATTTAAAACAACCATACTTACCTGGTAGGGGAGATACCATAATCAGGAATTTAAAACCATGACCTGGAGGTCCTGGAACCAATCCTCCTTGTTGTTCCAGTATTTGCCAGTAGAAGGAGCACTCCCCAGTAAAACGATCCAGGATTTGCCAATTTCACCACCGATAAACCCCTCTGGTTTTTCTTTCTTCTTGCTTCGAGTGTACCTTCTAAGCAAATGAGCTATGTGTTCTTAACTCATAATTAGTTTGTTTTCCTTTTTAAATTAAAAACTAATTTCCTGGATAAATTCGAGATAACCAGTGTGGACTCACGTTCCTGGCAAAGCCGTTATCAGCTGCCTTGTTAGGCTTTGGGAGCCATTATGGGTTCATGTATGATTTCCGTAGCACTTCTTGACATACTTTGGAACAGTATGTCTTGCTGGCTCTGATGTCGGAGACCTTTGGGTTTTAGGGAACCCGAGAGGGATCAGCGGGTGACCATGGCATTCTGGCTGACTCACTTCTTAGCTGACTCAACCTGGGGGTGTCTTTGGGGAACTTGATATCTGAGTTCTTAGGATTCCTCAAGTGACCCATTGGGACCCAGTTGCTTTTTCTTTCTTAGTTGAAGTAAAGCATTTTTACGTTTTAGGAAAACGAAAGCCATCAAGGACAGACTCCTCTGGCTGGGTGGACACAGCCACTGACTCTGTTGATTTGCTTTTCTCCCCAGAGCTTTCACCTACTTGTCTCACACCATCCCCGATTTCACAGACAACTGCCTGATCAACATCATGAAGTGCGGAGAAGACTTCTATGCGACCTCAGAGACCAATTACATCAGGAAAATCAACCCACAGACTCTGGAAACCCTGGAGAAGGTATCAACACATAAGTAACCCAGCATCACTTCCTGACTCAAGAAAGGGAGGGTCGGGGACGGCCAGGGTGAAGCTGCTCAGCCTGCAAGGAGCTCACCAGAGGGGTCCCTCCTCTAACACGTTTGGATCCCGTGCCCTAGCGCCACACTTAGTGCTAGGTGCTAGGCAGGGACTGTGTTGTTTTTATCTTTGTGTCTGTTTCAGTTTCCTGGGGCTGCTGTAACCAAGTCCTACAAAAAAGTTTGCTTTAAACAACAGAGATTGGCCGGGCATGGTGACCTACACCTGTAATCCCAACACTTTGGGAGGCCAAAATGGGCGGATCACCTGAGATCAGGAGTTCAAGACCAGCCTGGCCAACATGGTGAAACTCCGTCTCTACCAAAAATACAAAAATTAGACAGGCGTGGTGGCATGTGCCTGTAATCCCAGCTACTCTGAGGCTGAGGCAGGAGAATCGCTTGAACTCGGGAGGCGGAGGATGCAGTGAGCCCAGATTGCACCACTGCACTCCAGCCTGCATGACCTAGTGGGACTGTCTCAAAACAAAAACAAAAAACAACCACCAAAAAAAAAACAAAAAACAGAAATTTGCTGTGCCACAATTCTGAAGGCTAAAAGTCTGAAACCAAGGTGTCAGCAGGGCCATGCTCTCTGTGAAGGCTGTAGAGGAGGATTCTCCCTGGCCCCTGCCTGGTTTCTAGTGGTTGCCAGCAACCCCCGGTGTTCCTCAGCTTGTAGATGCATCCCTCCAGCCTCTGCCTCAGTCTTCACACTGCCTCTCCTTACAGGTCTATGTGTCTAAATGTTCTGCCTTTTCTTTTTTTTTCTTTTTTTTTTTTTGAGACAGTGTCTCGCTCTGTTGCCCAGGCTGGAGTGCAATGGCATGATCTCAGCTCACTGCACCCTCCTTCTCCCGGGTTCAAGTGATTCTCCTGCCTCAGCCTCCTGAGTAGCTGGGACTACAGGCACCCACCACCACACTCGGCTAATTTTTTGGATTTTTAGTAGACACGGGGTTTCACCATGTTAGCCAGGATGGTCTTGATCTCCTTACCTCATGATCAGCCCGCCTTGGCCTCCCAAAGTGCTGGGATTACAGGTGTGAGCCACCGTGCCCAACCATGTTCTGCCTTTTACAGAGACACAAGTCATTGCATTAGGGCCTACCCCACTGCAGTATGACCTCATCTTAACTTAGTGACATCTATAAAGACCTTATTTCCAAGTAAGGTCACATTCGCAGATACCTAGGGTGAGGACTTCAATCTGTCTTTTTGCAAGACACAATTCAACCCATAACTGTGTTCATAATTCTTGGTACTGAGGGAGTTCAGTGAGAATTTGAATTAACGACTCTGTTGAAACACCTGCGATTCTCAGCGAAATCCTACCTTCTTTGACCTGAAGAGGGAGGCATTAGGCAAAAAGCGAGGGCACAAAAATAAGTGCCCAAGCACATACGTTTCCTGGGAAGAACCAAGTCAACATTTTGGTGAAAATCAATAGACCCACTTTCAATTTTCTCCAACTGGCTGTTCAAAAGTCCGATGTCTCCGCAATACGTTTTAACGATCTGTTGAAGAGATGAGGCTTTTCTTAGCTGTGAAATTATGTCCAGCTGCTTTTAAGCTAGATGGCATCAGTCCAACTGATGACACTTTCCACAAGGCTACAGAGAGGAAATGCTGGAAGAGAATGGGGTTATCTGACTCTGGGCTGGAGGTTGTGTATTTCTAGGGAAGGAAGGGCAGACGGTTGGTCTGCGGCTGCTCCATCATTCTGCAGCTGTGGATTGCAGAGTGAGGGTGATTATTCAGCTCGTTCATGGAGCTTCACTTTGACCAAGTGTTTTTGTAACCTTTCCATTCCCAGAATAATCCTCTAAGAGAGGCCTAGAGATTTATGCTTCTATGCAATGCAAAACGGCAGAATTTAAGCCAGAATGACAGAGCTGTGGCCAAGATTAGCTCGAAGGCTACCTCTCTGCCCAGGTCATTGCTCAGATCTTTCTGCAGTGAGGAATCTTGTTTCCATGTTGAGGATTCCAGCAAGGTCAAGCAGCAGGATTGCAATGATAGCCCCAGAAGCATACCAGCTCCCTAACTCCCCTGCAACCTGTTAACTGTCTGAGCCCCTCAAATCCCCATGTGAAGTCGTATCAGGTCACGAGAGTGAAAGTCTTTAAAAGCAAATTCTGTAACGTTTTCAGATGTGCAAAAATATCCCTCATCTCTCTGAAGCTAGAATCGTCACGTTTTCACAGGGTTTCAACCTTTCTCCTTTGAAAAACCAGTTGATGTCATATCTTGCAGATTGATTATCGTAAATACTTAAAAAAAAACAGGAGGTGTCATATCTTGCAGGTCGATTATCGTAAATACGTGGCGGTAAATCTGGCAACGTCACATCCCCATTATGATGAGGCTGGAAATGTTCTCAACATGGGCACATCCATTGTGGAAAAAGGGAAGACAAAATATGTGATTTTTAAGATCCCTGCCACAGTACCAGGTAGGCCACTCTGGGGAATCGAATAAAACACAAACAGCCAAGGCTGGCTCCTTCTGAAGAGTTCTGTTTTTCGTTGATGACACAAGACTCAGTGTGGTACTTTCTCCCATGGATTATTCAGATGACCATGATCTCAGTACTTTCCTTTAGAAGAAAAGAGGAGTTGCTGGGATTCCTCCTGGAAGAAATAAATCCCTTTACTATTCTAATTTCCTTTTATTTAGGCTCCAGGTTATTATTTTATTAGTTTATCCACCCATCTACCATCCATCCATTCATCCATCGTCTACTTACCATCTAATCATTCATTCATCTACCATCCATCCATTCATGCATCTACTCACCATCCATCTATCCATCATTCATTCATCTACTCACTATCCATCCACCCATCTACCCACCATTCATCCATCTATCCATCACCCATCCGCCATCTGTCCACCCCACCCATTCACCACTTACCTAGCCAGCCACCCACCATCCATCCATCCACCACCCGTCCATCCGTCCACCCACCATCCATCTACCCACCCATCTGCCCACCCATCATGAATCCATTTATCCATCTACCCATTCTCCCATCCATCCCTCCATCTACTTACCCACTATCCATCCATCCATTGAGCTACCCACCCACCCACCCTTCCGTCCATCATCCATCCACCCACCCATCCACCATCCATCCATCCACCCACCTACCCATTCACCCATACGCTATCCCTCCCTCCATCCATCTACCCACCAGCCATCCACCATCCATATACCCACCCATCCGCCCACCTATCATGAATCCATTTATCCATCTACCCATTCTCCAATCCATCCCCCCATCTACTTACCCACCATCCATCCATCCATTGAGATACCCACCCACCTACCCTTCCATCCATCATCCATCGAGATACCCACCCACCCACCCTTCCATCCATCATCCATCCATCCACCCACCCATTCACCCTCCATCCATTCATCCATCCACCCACACACCATCTACCCATCCATCCATCCACCCACCATCCATCCACCATCCATTTACCCACCCATTCACCCACCCATCATGAATCCATTTATCCATCTACCCATTCTCCCATCCATCGACCCATCCACTTACCCACCATCCATCCATTTAGCCACCCACCTGCCCATCCATCCATCATTCATCCATCTACCCACTATCTATACACCCACCATCCATCCATCTATCTATCCACCATCTATCCATCCACCCACCCAACATCCATCTACCATCTGCATCTACCCATCTATTCACTCACCATCCTTCCATCCACCATCTATCCATCCACCCACCATCCATCCATCTATCTACTATCCACCCATTCATGCACCCACCTACCCACTTATCGATTCATTCATCCATCCATCCATTCAGTTTTTCAGTCTCCTGACAAACCTTTCTATGGTAAGGTTATGCTACCTACTTTCATTCTCAGCCCCTGCAGCCAGGGTTCCAGGGCTGTTTAGGGAGCTCAGCCCTGCTGGGATCCACTCCAGATCCCTGTCCTATTCTCCAGGCCTTCTGGACCTCTTCCATGTGGGGCTGGGATCTTGGAGCAAAGCCCAGACTGACTGTGATTGCATGATCCTGAGGGGGAGGAGGCGGAGGTTCTTAGCCCATGTTTGTCCAGGACCCTCCTGGGAACCACACCCAGGAGATTTAGGCCTGTGAAGACAGCTGACAGGACTCAGGAGACAGTGCAGAACTACAACAGTGCTTCCTCTGACCTTCTAGTTTAGGAAAAACTAGTTTCTGCCTGTGATCCTTGCTGCTCCCCCATCCCCCATAGTCTTGTAGAGCCCCCTGAGCAAATTACCAGGCTCTGCCTGGAGAGGTGAGCCTCCGAGGTCAGAAGGTACATGGAGTGTACTTGTTAAATAGAACTCTCATTAATTAAGCCAGTAAAGGGATATAGGGGTCAAGCTCAGAATCCTAGAATGCCATACCTGGGGATTGTCTAGGCATTTTCGATTGCCACCTTGTATTACAGAGAAGGACTGTGAGGCTCAGGGGATCAGGTGAGACACCCCAGTCACATAGCTCCCAGGAGCCACTGACATCCTGCAAGCAGAGATCCTCTGAGCACCTGCTCCATGCTGGCGGTGGCACTGGGACTCGCCGTAACCCGCTCCTCCCAGGCCACAGTGCTTTTCGTTTCAGTTTGCACTGTGTTCCATTTGTTTTATAAAGAAAATAACTATCCCACAACCCCACAGCATCCCTCCCACCAGCCAGCTGTTTGCAGGGTGCACAGGTGGCCACAAGAGAGGTGGGGAAGTTTGCAGATAACTCATTATAAGCCAGCTGCAGGCCTGGGTGGGGAGGCCTTTTGACCAGTGAGTGACTCATGCTTGCAGAGGAATAAGAAAACTGAACATGTATTGAGCACCTTCCGTGTTTGGGTGCAGGGTGAGGCACATGGATGAGTGCTTTATTTTATTCTGTTTTCTACCTTCACTCTATGAGAGTCATAATCCCTGATAAAAGAGGAGGAAGGCGAAGGGAGCTGTGTTTTCTTGGCTTAACCCTGTGACTCTGACCATAATGACAGCCCATTCCACTAAGCCTAAGTTTCTCATCTATAAAATGGCCATCCTACAGCCTAGCTTGACTATCTGCATTTATATAAAACCCCTAATCATGGCTGGGCGCAGTGGCTCACACATGTAATCCCAGCACTAATCCCCAAGGCAGGCAGATCACCTGAGGTCAGGAGTTCCAGACCAGCCTGGCCAACATGGCGAAACCCCGTCTGTACTAAAAATGCAAAAATTAGCCAAGCGTGGTGGCGTGAGCCTGTAATACCAGCTATTCGGGAGGCTGAGGCAGGAGAATCACTTGAACCTGGGAGGCA